TCCCTCCCCCAGGGAGGGCAGGCACCGAGGCACCCCAGGTCCACTGCCGGGCTAAGTGCTGTCTCAGGGCAGGGCCGTGCCCACGGCTGGGGGGGCCAGGAGGGCTTTGGCATTGCGTGGGTTCACCCAGCTCTCGGCTGTGTGGCCGTGGATCTTCTGGTGGCGCTTGTAGTTGTCCCAGTGACCAGTGGTGTAGGAGCAGTCCCGGCACTGGAAGGGCTTCTCGCCCGTATGCCGCAGCATGTGCCGCTTCAGGTTCATGCTCTGGTTGCAACTGTAGCTGCAGAGGCTGCACTGGAAGGGCTTGTCGCCTGAGTGGATGCGCCCGTGACGCTTGAGGTTGGCCAGGTTGCCACAGGCATAGTCGCAGAGCTGGCACTTGTAGGGCTTCTCGCCTGTGTGCACGCGCTGGTGCCGCTTCAGGTTGTCCAGGTGGGCGGAGGCATAAGGGCAGAGCGGGCAGGCGAACGGCTTCTCCCCGCTGTGCGTCTTCATGTGCCGCGCCAAGTGGTTGGGGTAGTGGGTGACGAAGGGGCAGAGGCTGCAGGCAAAGCCCTTGTCCCCAGTGCTCTTTCGGGGGCTGGCACCTGGCTCGGTGCCCAGCACCGCCAGGCTGCAGCGCCCGCAGACCTGCTCGGCCAGGCCCTCGTCCTGTGCGAACCCGTCGTCCAGCACCAGCCCGCACATGCGGCACGTGAAGGGGAAGAGCAGCTCGGGCAGCGCGGCTGCCTCCTCACCCCGCAGCCGTGCACAGCCGGGCAGGAAGGGGCCGCTGCCGCTGCCCACGTGCAGGCTCAGCTCTGGCAGCAGTGGCTCTGCGGGACAAAGAGAGGAGGCTGTGAGCTGGGCGGCACAGCGCCAGCGAGGATTGGCTCTATGACTAACTACAGTGCCCCGGTGAGCCTGGCAGTAACATGACTTCGAGTCAATGGCAGGGTCTGTGCCCTGCCCCAGACCCAAAGCCCCCACAGCAGCTCTCCCCACATGCCCACACCCTCCCACCTTTACCTGGGTCCTTGTCTCGCCGGTGTGGCCCCTCGCCCTCAGGCAGGCGGTGGCTGAGCATGTGCCGCTTCAGGTTGCGGCTCTGGTTGCAGCGGTAGTCGCAGGCGGCACACTGGAAGGGCTTGTCCTGGCTGTGGACCCGCTCGTGGCGTTTGAGGTTGCCCAGGCTGCTGCAGGCGAAGCTGCAGCACGTGCAGCGGTACGGCTTCTCCCCGGTGTGCGTGCGCAGGTGCCGGGTCAGGTTCACCAGCTGGGCAGAGGCGTAGGCACACTGCGGGCAGGCGAAGGGCTTCTCCCCATTGTGTGTCTTCATGTGGCGCTTGAGGTGGCTGGAGTAGTGGGAGGCGAAGGGGCAGAGCTGGCAGGAGTAGACGATGCGCTGGCTGCGGCTGCCCTCGGCGCCGGCGCACTGCAGGCAGCTCTGGCCCAGGCTGGCAGCCAGCTGCAGCCCGCACTGGCGGCAGGGCAGGGCGGCAGGGCCAGGCTCACCCCCCTCCTCAGGGTCACTCTCCACGCTCAGCTGCTGGTACCCAGAGGAGCAGTCGTCGTCGCTCAGGGCGTACGCTGGAATAGCGATCTTCCCCACCAGTGTGTCTGCTGAGAACACCGTGGGGAGGGGGCGGTGTCAGCCTGGCTGGCCTGGGCACAGCCCCTCTGCCTACACCCCCAGTCCCAGATGGGTGCTCCGCCTGTGGCACCTAGTAGGAGCCCACCACACCGTGCACTGCAGTGAGGAGCCCCACAACCACGGCCTGCCCCAGCACCCCGCTGAGGGCCTGTTCTGGGCGTCTCAGGAAACCCTGACACTTCTGCATGGCTGGCCAAGACCCTGGCACCAGGAAGGGTGACAGGATGGGTGGGTCCATCACCCACCTGGCACTGCTGGGCCTGGTGAGTGGAAGGTGGTGGGCACAGCCTGGCCTAGGCTGGAGAAATGGGTGCCCATAAATCTGCTGTGTGCCCCTCTCACTGTGCCACTGCCCCAGCCCCGGAGTTGGCAGCTGGTCGCACTCGCATGGCTGGTACCAGGGAGCTCCAACACCAGCCCCTTCTACCCTTCAGGAAACATTCCCCAGCCCCAAGCAGTGCCACTGTTTGGTGGCAGCAGGGGGAAGGCTGTGCCAGGCTCTCAAATGCAACTTCTCAGCTGGGCACAGACTCATCCTTCTGCACCCCCTGTGCTCCACATGTGCCCCCTAGGCTGGTGCTCGAGGCTGGACGGGCAGCTCACCACTACCAGCTGTGAGCCATGCCCTGCTGGCTCCGTGCTGTGCCTGACCTGCAACTCTGGGGCCCATCAGACTCAGCAACTGCCCATCATCCTGGGAAGCACCCTGGACTGTCCCCTTGCTGCTGCTGCCCAGGCCGGGTCCAGCTCCCAGAGCCCCAGGCAGGCGCAGAGATGAGATTGACCTATGCTGTGGGATGGGGTGGCCCCTCCAGCCTCCTGGCCCCTTCCACAAGCACTGCCGGAAATGCAGACATCAGAAAAGGGCATCCTGCCTAGGCCTGGCTATTATGGGGAACCCTTGACCCTGCCTCAAGCCCTCTGTCAAGGGACCCCCTTTCTCCTCAGCTCAGACCCACCCACACCAAGGGACCCACCCATCCCTTCAGCCCAGTTCCACACTGAGGGAACCTCCTGTCTCCTCAGCCCAGCAGTGCCTCAGCTTCCCCAAAGCACCATCCCCTAAATGGCCCACAGTGTCAGTGCCCACATGGCACACTTGTCTCCTGACTGCTTCAGTGGGCTGAGGTCTTAGTCCTGCTCCCTGGCTGGGGCTGAATGGGACAGGTATTCCTGGTAGAATTTGTCACCAAATCGCTGGCAGGCTCCTAGGGCTACCAAGCAGCTGTCCCAGGGCAGGGAAGCACAGCCCTCAGAGCAGCCCCATCTGCTAGGCAGTTTGGGGCTCAGTACCAGAGCAGGAGCACAGCCCAGGGCAGCCGTTGAGCACATGGACCAGGGCACAGCCCTCGGGAACAGCGAGTGGAGAGACAGTCCATGCCCTCAGCTCTCGCCATTCTGTTCCCACGTTGCTCAGTGCCTGGGGCGAGGAGTGACTCCCACCAGTCCCCGTGAGGCAGCTCCGTGGAGTTGAGCAGTACTCACTCCTCCGGCTGCCTCGGCCGCGGCTGACCCAAGCTCGGGAGCACCGGCTGGACGGGCGCTGCCCAGTCGCCCCGGGCCGGAGGTCGCGGGGCTGAGAGCGCTCCGTATACCCCGCAGTGCCGAGGGGAGTGGTGGAAAAGGACCCCGGGGCCGGGCCTGGCTCCCGGGCGGGCAGTAGAGCCGGGGCCGAGCGGTGCGGAGGCTCTGGGGTGAGGCCGGCGGCGGCTGCGGGACCCGGCCCCAAACCTACCGCGGGGACACTTCGTGCCCGGGACATTCGCGGGAAGGAGCATTCGGGGATCGGTGCCGGGGGTCAACCCCGGGCGGGCAGAAACCACGCGGGGGCCCCGTCGGGGGCCGGGCCTCCCCCGTGAGAGGAAGCTCGGCCGGAGCCCGCGCCGGGCGGGCCCGTGGCAGGGCGGGCCCTGCCGGATGCGCCGAGCGCGGGGCCGGTACGGCCCGGCCGGGCCGCGTCCCCACCGGCAGCGCTGCCGGAGAGGGGCGGCGTCCCCGCGGGGGCCGCACGCACCTGGCGGTCCCTTCTCGGAGGCCGGGCCGCGGCCCAGCAGCAGGTCCCCGGGCAGCACCACCGCCGCTCTTGCCGTCTCCTCGGTGCCATCCTCGGCGTCCGCTGCAGCGCTCCGAGCGCCGCGGGTCCCCGCCGGGCCGCTGCCGCCCCCCGGGCCCGCCGCGCACTCACCCTTCACCGGCTGCGGGTGGCTCTGCTTCCGCCGGGGCATCGTGGCGGGCCCCGGTGCCGGCCCGGCCCCGCCGCCCGCCCGCCCGCGGCCCGCCAGCCGCCCCCGCCAGCCCGGGGCGGCCACCGCCGCCCCGCCTCGACCGGACACTTCCGCTTCCGCTTCCCCCGGGCGCGCGGGGGCTGTGCCGGAAGCGGCCGCGCGACCCGGAAGCGGAGCGGGCGCGTGCGCAGGGGCACCGCTGCCTCCCGGCCCCGCCCGCCCCGGCATGAGCGGGAGCGGCCCCGGGCCCGGCGGGGGCGTGGCGCTGGGCCGAGCCGGGTCACGGGAGAGGCGGGCAGGGCTCGCGGGCTCGGGCGGGGGTCGGGGCGGGGCGGGACAGCAGCGGCTCCGCCCCTTCCGGCCGGCGGGAGGCGGTGGCACCGGCGGGACCGGGACCGGGGCTGCTACCGGACGTTGACGGTCTCTGTATCCCTTCAGGGGTGGCTGCGGCTCCTCTTCCGGTGCCAACCGGGTCCGGCCCCGCCGAGCGCCGGCGCCGAGGGCAGACCCCGGTGAGTCCCTTGCCGGTGTCCCCGCGTGGTCAAACCGGGGACACCCAGGGCTTTGCGTCCCGCCCGCTGGGCCTGAGGGCCCCTGGCTGTCCGGTCACACCGTGCTCTGGCCGTTCCCCAAGGCGGTCGGTGCAGCGGTGCAGCCCAGCCGTGTCCCGGGGTTGCGCCCGGTCCCCACCCGCATCACTCGCTGTGCTCTCCCGGCGGCTCCGGTCCCCGTCCAGGCGGCCCTGGCTGTGCGAGCCACGGCTCGGCCTCTTGGCGGATCGCTGCTGGCCCTCTGCAGGTCCCAAGGACGTGGATGTGTCGCGCTGTGGCCGTCCCGGGGGAGCCGTGGCCGTGCCGTGCTGCCAGCGATGATTCCCAGTCCCGTCTCTGCCCGGTTTCCCTGAGCTCTGAACTTGCCCTCTCCCTGGGAGGCACCGTATCCCCTGGGAAGTTCTGTGTCCCTGGGGGGATGTGGAGCCACCCCGTGCTTGGCCCAGGAGAGCAGGTATGCTCGGACTCAGTCTCACCTGAGTGTCAGTGGTTCCAGCCTCTTGTCACGGCAGTGCCTCTGCCTCTGGCAGAGCTGACACGGGAATGCTTTGGAGGCTGTGGAGTGTAGCAGTGCTGTGGAGGAAGGGAGGACGGGGCAACTTTGGGGTGTAGAGAGGGAAGGACCACGGGGAGGGAATGTGGTGTGGCCAAGGATTTGCGAGCTCTAAGCAAGGAAAATGGACAGATTGACCCCACTGCTGGAATCACCTGGCTCCTGGTCACTGAATGAACTGGGTCTTGGGTCTCTTGTCAATTGCACTCCAGTGAAAAGTGTTTCAGCCCTGTCTCACCCTGGGGAGGAGAGTCCTGAAGCCCTGGGGTGGGGATGGATGTGTCACACTGCCCTGTACCTGGACTGGTTGCCACGGTGCTGCCACTGTCTTCCCTACGCTGGGGATCTGGGAGTTCTGTGGTCCTGGACCTGTCATGCGGAGCTGAGGGAGACAAGGTGGGGTAGGACAGGCTCGGGGCCTATTGGCAGGGTGCTGTTTGAGCTTCTCTGGGTGCCAAGGGCCTGTTCCCAGGGCCCGGGCTCGCTCTCAGGAGCAGTTCCTCTGCAGGCCGAGTGGCAGCGACTGCAGCTGGGGATGGTTCTGCTGTTACCTGTGGTGAGGCTCAGGTAGGAGCCGGGCCATGGGGGCTGCACCAGGGCCAGCACCTCCCCGCTGCCCTCCATAGCCCAACAGCAGCCGGTGGCTACCTCGGCGGGCCACCATGGACCAGCCCACACGTGTGCCTGGGCCCCGCCGGCTCCTGGGCTGCTTCAGGCGGAAGCCACAGGCCGTCGGGGGGGAGACACCACCAGAGCCGGAGCCAGAGCCGGAGGAACCTGAGGAGACACCTGTGGTGCTGCCCCTGGGCGAGGGCCAGGTGCTGGAGGAGTGTCCCCTGTGCCTGCTGCCCCAGCCCCCCGAGGCCTTTCCCAGCCTGGCCTCCTGCTCGCACCGCTCGTGCTGGGCTTGCCTGCAGCAGTACCTGTGCCTCGCTGTCCGCGAGAGCCGCGTGCCCGTGTCCTGCCCGCACTGCCCCGCCGCGCTCCAGCCCTCCGACGTGCACCGCCTCCTGCCCGAGCCCGCCCTCCGCGACAAGTACGAAGAGTTCCTGCTGCGACGGCTGCTGGTGGCTGATCCTGGCACCCGCTGGTGCCCTGCACCTGACTGCAGGTACGGCCGGCCCCAGCAGAGATGGGAATGCGGGGTTGGGCCTGGGCCCGCCTCCCGCAACAGCAGTGTGTGCCTGTGTCCTGTGAGCCCTTCCCAGGCTAGGTTCCTCATCGCTTTGTCGTGTGTTGGGCTGGGTGTGTCCAGGGAAGTGTCCGGTCCTGGTCTGGCTGCAGAGCCTGCGCAGCTCTGTCTGCCAGGGCTCGTGTCCTTGGCTATGCCAGACACTCTGAGGGCCCCAGGGCTCTGGATGCTGGACAGGGTGGGTTGGTGAGGCGGGTTGGTGAGGCTGTATCCTGGCTCTCCTGAGCTGGGGCTGTGGCTCCAACTCAGTTCAGGACTGGGACTGCCACAGCCTGGCCTGGCTGTGCCGGGGAGGGGGCACCTGCTGTACCCCAGCTCCAACCGCCTTCTCCCCACAGCTATGCTGTCTTTGCCCACGGCTGTGCCGAGTGTCCCCGCCTCACCTGTGGGCGTGAGGGCTGTGGCACCGAGTTCTGCTACCACTGCCGGCAGCCCTGGCACCCTGACGGCCCCTGTGAACCGGCCCCCGGCCTGGCCACCCCCACAGCACAGCTGGCCCAGCCGGAGGAGTTGGCCCATGGTGAGGCCCTGGCCCAGGGTGGGAGCAGCAGGGCTGGGGTTTGGCAGAGTCGTGTGCTTCTGTGCCTCCTGCCTGTGGGACTGCTGGAACCAGGATCCAGAGTTCCCTCTGACTGCCTCTGCTGCAGTCTCAACTGCAGTCTCTGCTGCAACTGGCAAGTTGGGCCGGGATGTGTAGAGGGACCTCTGCTCCCTCCATGATACCTGTGGGATGGGAAGAGTCTGGGACAGGCTGGGATGGATGCACATTATTCTGTCCTGCTCTCCCATCCTGTCTTATCTCCCCCCAGCTGAGGCCGAGGACATCAAGGTCTGTCCTCGCTGCAGCGCCTTCATCATGAAGATCAACGATGGGAGCTGCAACCGCATGAACTGCACCGTCTGTGGGTGCCTCTTCTGCTGGCTCTGCCTGCGGGAGATCTCTGACGTGCACTTCTTGAGGTCAGTGCAGGGCCATGGGGGTTGGGGGCCCTGACAGGAGCTGGGGGGCTGGGATGGGCGCAGCCAGGCCCAGGTTTGGGGTTGGCTGGGGGAAGCAGGGTGGTTTGTGCTGCTGGCTGTGGCAGGGCTGGGCCCGGCTCTTGGCACCCCGTGGGAGGCAGCTGGAGCTCAGAGTTGGGGAACCTGGCTGCCTGCTCTCCGATGGGACCATGGATGTCCCCTGCCATGAAGCCAGGCTGTGCTGGTCTCTGCCTGCCCCTCGCAGATGCCTTGGCTCAGCCCTGCTCTGTCCCCACAGCCCCTCTGGGTGCACCTTCTGGGGGAAGAGGCCATGGTCACGGACCCGGAGGATCCTATGGCAGCTGGGCATGGTGCTGGGAGCGCCCATGGTCATCTCCCTTGCTGCGGGTGTTGCTGTCCCTGTCATTACCATTGGGATCCCCATCTACATGGGTAGGAAGGTACTGGCAGGTGGTCCTGGAGTCCCTGTGGTCCTGCTCCCTGCTGAGCCTGGTAGCCAATGGCCCTCGGCCTGGACAGACCCGCAGTGCTCCCTGCTGCCCACAGCACATCTCTGTGCCACCCTGACCACCGTCAGCACATCCCTGTGGTATTCCTGACAGCTCACAGTCCCTCCTTTCTGGGACCTTCTGCTGCCCCCCAGCAGCCCCTGCTAGTGCGGGTGTGCTCAGGCTGGGGAGCGGGGCCAGGGTGGGCAAAAGGAGGAAGGATTCCAGGGGGGCTTTCCAGGAACACCTGTGCTGTGGCGGCAGTGCTGTTGTGGCTGCCTGTCCCTGAGGAGGCGGGGGGCGGGTCTGGGCGGCTGTGGCTGGAGCTCTGCCAGGCTGGAAAGAGGTTATGTCCCTGGGCTATGCTTTGTAGAACCCTTCATCTTTCTGTTTTGTCCTTGAGGTGCTGGGCCAGAGCCGGCGAAGCAGCCTCTCCAGGTGCCAGCAGTGCCTCTCTGTCACCAGCAGTGTCCTCCTCTCTCTCTTTGTGTCCCCCATCATAACAGCTCTCACTGTGGGTGAGTGCCAAGGGCACTGCCCATGTTGGGGAGTGCGGCTGTGGCTGTGACGTGGCTGTGGGGGACGTCTGGGACCAGAGGCAGCAGGGCTGGGGCTGGGCAGTGACCACTTGCCCACCCACAGGTATCGGCGTGCCCCTGGTGCTCACCTACGTGTACGGGACCGTGGTGCTGTCGCTGTGCCGGAGCCGCTGGGGCTGCAGGGGCAGTCGCACGCCTGGAGACCTCGGTGTGGTGGAGCTGGACAATCTGGCTAAATGTGAGTCCCACAGAGCTGGCAGGCCCTGGCCTGTGCCCTCCCTGCTCCGTGGGAACAGTGTGCTCTCTGTCCCCAGTGAATGAGCTGTGGTCAGTGCTGCCCAGCCCCAGAGCAGGTGAGGATGGAGCTCCAGACCCCGCTGCCTCCCTCCCCAGCAGCAGCCGCAGTCCACGCCCAGGGCCAGCATGGCCAGAACAGGACAGCCAGTCAGCCAGCACAGTGGCCCTTGCAGGAAGCATGCTGAGTGAGGGCCAGGACACCTCTGACAGGTAAGCAGGGTGGCTGTGCTGAGGGAGCAGCACACCCCTTCCAAACAGTCTCCCCTGCTCCTGCTGTGCTGGGCAGGGCTGTGCTGGGCAGGGAGGGGTTGTCCCCCTTTGGGCTGCTGCCCTGAGGTCAGTGTCTGTCTGCAGGGAAGGTGTTACCATCGAGGTGGAGGTGTCGGTTGAAGCAGTGCCACGTTCTGCCCGGCAGCAGAGCCTCAGCAGTGCCCTGTCTGGGCAGAGCCTCTCTGGGGACTCCCTGGGAGCCACCAGTGACAGGGGCAGCTCTGTGGGCGTCCCTGTGGAGTGACGGGGGCCTGAGGGGGAAGAGTCTTGATCTACACACAGGTCCTATGCCCTCCCTCTGCCAGCACAGCCAGCTCTTGGAACCAGGTCCTGGGTGGGTGCCAGCTGCACCCATTGCTGCACCCTGCACTAGCCATGTCTGCCCCTTCTCAGAGGCACCACTAGGAAATAAAGCTGCTTTCTGAGGGTCCCTCTGTCTCCTGTGGCAAAACTCTCCTGCCAGTGCAGCCCCCTGGTGTCACATCTGCGCCTGTGTGAGGAAGAGGCCACCCAGGCAATGCAGGGGTTGTCACGGCCTCTGCCCTGCCTATACCAGCTGATCTGCCCCGAAAGCAGGCTCCAGGGCTGGGGGAGGGCAGCAGCTCCAATCTCTGGTGCTGGTCCCCGCAGAGGTCTGTCCTGCAGCAAGGCCAGCGTAGAGACCACAGAGTAACACCATGGGCTGCAGGTGTGGACCTAGTGCCAGATGGGTTGTGTAGTCTCAGGCACTGGGATCCTCACCACTGCAGCATCCTGGGGAAAAAAAGCTGCTTCTGGATGTTTTGCTGCTTAATGTTGGGCAGTCACAGACTGACTAAAGGATTTGGGTTGGGAGGGAACTTCAAGCTTGCCATGGGCAGGGACATCTTCCACTGGACCAGGTTGCTCTGGAATTTCTTCCCAATATCCCATCTAATCCTGCCCTCTGGCAGTGGGAAGCCCTTTCCCCTTGACCAGTCCCTCCAGGCCCTTGCCCTAAGTCCCTCCAGCTTTCTTGGAGCTCCTTTAGGCACTGTGACTCTAAGGTCTCTCTGGATCCTTCTCCAGACTGAACATCCCCAGCTGTCTCAGCCTGTCTCCATAGGGTTAGATTAGGAACAAATGTTCTCCTCCCCACCCCGCCTTCCTCACCTCCTCCTCCAGGAAAGAATAAAGACTACACCTTATTTTCTCATCTTTTAGTTTGAAAAAAGTATTGATTCAAAGTGTACAACTGAACACGGTGTGGCCGCAGCACCACCACCAGATTGTTTCACAAATAAAAACAGAAAGGGCCTTAAATAATTGGGTGCAGATTTAAAAAAACCTCAACAGTGAAAAAGTTCTTCCCTCCAAACAGAAATTCACAGGCACAGAAATGGCAACAACCACATGGAGACAATGGGGGGACATCCTCCTCCTCCTCCTCACCACGGACTCCGTGCTGCAGCACTCCCAGCGCAGCTCCGTCCTCGCTCCCTCTTTGGAATGGTTACAGATGAACAGTGTGACATGCCCTTGCTAACCAGACCCGCCCCCACCCCCCGACCAGGACACGGACAGACAAGGCCTCTGCTAAGGCTAAAAAAAGGACAAGACTTGGAGTCTTGAGTTCAGCATGGGTAAGAAATGAGTCTGGTGAGCACAGCCCAGTCCCCAGGTGGGCCCTGCTACTCCAGTTTGGCCTTCTTGGTGCTGTCCCCACCGTTCTCCTCTGCTGGTGCTGCCGCCTCCCCCAGTTTCCTTTTCCCACTCTCAGCAGGTGGGTGTGTGTTACGGGGTTTGAAGCTGATAATGATGCAGGTCATGTTATCGCAGCCGGTGCCATCCCCTGAGGTGTCTGGAGCCAAGCACTGATCCAGCAGCTGGGAAGGGACAGGGCAAGTCAGCAGAGAGGACAGATACACGCTGGGACCATTCCAGCGCCTGACAGTGGCTCAGGGATGCCAGGCCAGATCGCTGCAGGAGTCAAACACTCAAATGCAGTTCCTACCACGCTGCTGGAGGGACAGCAGAGCTCCTGATCTTACCTCTTCTACAATGGAGGAGAGTGGCCGCAGGACTCCATTCTCATCCTTCTGGGTGATCTTCGACTGGATGAAATCCACCACTTCCTGGCTGCTCATCACATTCCTGCAGAGCAGAGATGTTAGAAAAGCAGGCAAAGGGAGCACATGTGCCATGATGTCCACCAGGCCTACCTCAGGCCCAGCTCTGGAGAAAGGCTGGAGCAGTGATGCCCCAGCGGCACAACGGCTCCCTTACCACTCACCAGATTCCATCACAGGCAATGACCATGAAGTCGTGGTCATCGTTTATTGTCAGCACTTTGATGTCAGGCAGGGCAGAGATCATCTGCTCTTCCGGAGGAAGGTTCTTGTTCCGCTTGTAGAAGTGATCCCCTGTGGTGGGAGGAAGATGTCTAGGCACAGGCAGTGCTGCCTGCCCTGGACAGGGAGCAGCACTGTCCTGCCACAGGGCATTCCCAGTGGGATCAGCAAGTGCTCCCACAACCTGGGATCAGGCCGTGGGCCATGAAGCAGAGGAACCACTGCAGATTCCTGGTTTAAGCTCTGGCAAGCCCAGGGAAGAGAGGTCTTGTCAAGCTCGGCCTCTCTTTACTCCTAACCAAGTGCCCCTTTCCCACATCTTGGAGCAACCAACACCAGGCTAACAGCACACAGCACCTGTCACCTCTGAAGAGGCTGTGGCTGCCCCATCCCTGGAAGTGTTCAAAACCAGGCTGGATGGGGCCTGGAACAACCTGGTCTAATGAAGGCGTCCCCGCCCATGGCTGTGGCTGGAACTAGTCGAGCTTTAAGGTCCCCCAAACCACTTCAGGGCTCATTTTATGATTCAAAGTTCACTTGGGAAAACTGGCCTTCAGCTCTGCCTAGCAGTTTATCAGGAATCATCCCATGAAGGGACTTCCAGGGCCACCACAAACTAGCAGGTGGGAGTGCCAGTGTCTCCCTAGATAAAGTCCTTATTTCTGTCTAGAGGTGTTTCTTACATCTTTACACTAAGATAACGATTTCAGTGGTTTGGGTCCTTCTGTACACACTCAGATGAGTAAATGGGCTCAAACTGAAGCCAGGTCCCCAGGAAGCAGCACGCCGAGATTCCTCAATAACCCAGTAAGCAGAGGTCCTGTTCCAAAGGCAGCAGTCTGGTTTCGGGACAGTTTACATGAGGTGGTTTCTGAAAACCCAGCTGCTGGCACAACAGCCTGGGATGTGTCAGATGCTGCTTTCCACAGATAACTGCTGTGAAACAGTTGGACTTCTCCAATTAGACTGAAATCTCCATCAAATATCGAAGGGTTTCACACGTCTCACTGACAACTGTTCCATAAGCTTAGTGACTGGCAGTGCTGTCAGCACAGCTCTCCTGAGGCCAGCCCTGCCAGCATCCCCCCTCCTGCTTACCAATGGCCCTGGAGAGGTTGAGACCGCCGTTCACCCTTCCGTCCATGGTCACCTTGCCACCTGCGTTCTTTATTCTGGCCAGCTCCACCTCATCCTCTGGCTTGTGGTCATAGGACATGTCGACAGCCTTGCCCCCCTCTGACACGACACAGCGCGAATCCCCGGCGTTGGCCACGATCAGCTGCTTGCCCCGGATGAGCGCCACGACAGCTGTGGTGCCACTGTCTGAGCCCGGCTGCAAGAGACACAATTCTGGTGAGGTTTCTCTCTCTATCTCCCCGTCAGGTCATTAAGGGAACCAGCAGCAGCTGCACAGCAGTATCCCAGATCCCAGGGTGCTGCACTGCACCCCATAAGCACACACAGAACAATGGAAACAGCCTGAGGGAAGTGGGAAACACCAGGAGTGTGTTCTGCAGGGCAGGGTTAGGCAACACCTCCATACCAGTCTCAGGCAGCATGGTGGGTCAGGATTCTCTGGCGTTCCACAGGTCTGTACCTGCTGCTCTAATGTGCTAATTCCAACCCCAGCCCAACTTGAGCACATCCTCACTTCAAGTCGGGACATTTCCCCAAAGGGAGAAATTGGCACCCTGCAAGCCAGGTCCCCTTTACCTGACCTCCTGGGTCACTGGCCTGCCTGACTGCACTGACACGGGCTGAAGAGCCATAGCCCTGGCCCAGTGAGGAGCCATGCTGCACTCTGGAGCAGTGGTGCCATCAGAGCCTTCCTGTTCTTGCCCCATGCTCTACCTCCACACTGCTTTCCAAGCACCTCACGCCCAGCAGTGGGATCAGCCTCTTCGATCTCAACCTGCTGTCCAGATCCAGGCCCCTACCTCAGCTTTTGCACGAACCCAGGCTGTCAGCAGCTCCCTCAGCCTCAGTAGACTACAAAGGGTGATCTATCTCCACCTGAACAGAAACAGCCCCTAGCCGAGTCTCCCAAGTACCCCTGGCTCCACACTAAACTGCAGAACACAAAACCAGGGTGTGCACCTCCTCTTTCCCCTCCATGCCCGGTAACAACATTTCCTCCTCTTCATCCTCATCCTCCTCTGCTTCTTCAGTGTCATCTTCTTCGTCTTCATTCTCTGCCTCTTCACTGCTGTAACCGTCCTCATCCTCACTACATTCCTACAAGAAAGGAGAGATACCACAGGAGTCACACAAGACACTTGGTGCTGTCCCCCCACTGGTCCCTCCATCCTGGGGACCAATGGTCAGTTCTCCCAGAGGTGTGAGGTGACCTGCCACGTGTCCCCCACACTTGACGGCTACAACCAGAGCAGCTGGTATCACTACGGCAGTGGATGAAGGGATGGTGCATGCAGCAGGACCAAGGGCTATCAGCTCTGGCCGCTGCAGGATGAGTGTGTGTCCTTCGGGGTTAGCTCAACAATCCCAAACATTCCCATGGGATGGCCTCAAAGGATCAGCCTGAAACACCTGCTCCTAGGAACACACCTAGGATGACCAGAGACTCGTCTCAAGTACCACCGTAAGCAATGCATTCTGCCCAGCCAGAAGGCCACTCTGTTCCAGTGCTGTTTCCTACCTCACTGTCTTCCTCCTCTTCCTCAACCTCATCTGACTCATCCTCACTGTCCTCAAAAAATTTGGATTTGGTTGTGCGCTGGGGCTTTCCCGTAGAGGAGCAGGAGGGCCCGGCCTCCCCAGTAGAAGAGGTGACGGCCTCGTCACCTTTGCCTAGTTCAGGCTTCTGCAGAGCAGGGCTGTTGCCTCCAGCGCTGGCTTTGTCTGAGGTGGAGGAAATACCCGTGATTTCTTCGTCTGGCTTCCCGTTCTTCCTCTCCTTGTGGTCAGGAAGCTCCCCTGGGTCAGCCTCTCCATTCATATTTGACTCCCCATCATGCTGCTTGCCTGTCCCCTCCACAGCGCTATCCCCAGCTGCAGCTACAGACTTGGCTTTGAGGTTCTTGGTGCAGTTTTGTCCATAACGTGTGAGAAGCTCCTCAATGGTCATTGTGGCTTCTTCGTGCAGAAGAGCAGCTTCCTCATTATCCACTGCAAACGGAAGAGGGAGGAGACAAGGACAGAGAGGGTGAGAGAGCAGGATACCCAGCACACTGGGTCCTCTGGTGAGCTGCCCCAGCTGAGGCTGCTGCTGGCAGAGTTCCAGCAGTGCTCCCCAGGCTGACTCTGAGCACACAGCCAGGCCTGTGCCCTCCCACAGCTCCCAGATGCTACAGAGCAGGATGGGAACAGCAAGGCCACAGTTCTGACCACAGCACAGCCTGCCAGTGCCCCCACTGCCCCAGACCAGGTGCTCCCTGGCTGACTGACAGCACCACAGAGTGTTCACACCAGGCATAAAGGCTGGTGGTAGCACAGTGTTCACATCAAGTGTGTGGCAGGGAGGCAGAGCCTCACTTTCCCACTTGGGAGCTGCAGGGAAGCAGTCACCACTTCCA